TAAATTTTTCTAATAATTTTGTAATTCCTTTCAACTTCTAATTGTACAGGTTTCTCTAAATTTGGGGAAATTAAATTTTCATAATAACTTTATAACAATTTCTTCTAAATTCTAATTGTACAGCGCTCTAAATTTTGAAGTATTGAATTATTTCTCCAAATCATTATCTTTTGGATGAGTACATACATAACATTATTTTCAAATATCTCTACCTTCTATTTTTTAATCTAGCAAATAAAAGCCTAGACATAGTCTAGAATAGTCTCAATTCAATTTTTTTCCTTTCACTAATAAACACATTTAAATCTCAATGACAATACCTGCAACAGTCTTCATTTCCAAATAAATAATACCGTCAACATATTTATTAAACAACTGTTTAAACAAAAATTCTATCACCAACATTTCCTACTTTCTAAGTAAACAATACGCTCTTGAACAAATGTTTACATCACAACTCTCATGTCTGCTCAATTTTCAATGCTACACTTTCCTTCTCAATCACTCGACCTACGAATATTCTCTCCCGAGGCACGCGAAACGCGCTGCCCAAGATCCACCAAAACCCCATTTTTCCACCTGAATTAATTCTCACATCCTATCAACCTGTTCGACACAGTCATCCTCGTAAAACCAGCATAAATCGAACCACTTACTATAAATACCTCTCGTAAAGACTCAATCCAGATTACAAGATACACGCTCTTACGTCGCAATTTGTCAATCATCCCTTTCTCTCGCTCTCTCTTTTTTACTCATCTCAAAATACGAACCTCCGATAAAACACAGCAACTGTAGTTACACGTAAATTTACATCTGGTATACGTAGATTACTCGAATTTTCTTATCGATCCGTGAATCTCTGATAATTATCTGTGATAATTCCGCGTGGCACACGCCACGAAAACGAACTCCTCGAACTCTGGAGGCGCGCACGAGATTCGGTGAACGAAAATAAATCGCAACAATCTGGGGCCGTTGCGTTTCGCAAAAGCACACATCGAGAGAGTACTACCTCGAACGAACAGTGATTCTCCTTGACCTAGTCTCTGTCTCTGTGAGCCGTGCGGCCGCGCCGTGTATCCTCGACTGGAGGAAACGTTCGAGACGTGAATTAATCGGTGTCGCATGCTTTCGAAAAGCGCTTTTCTTCGTGACTTCTGATCGAAGGGACCACGGAGGTGAATTGGAAATTGTTTCCGTACGGTACGGTGATCGATCGTGGATCGATTTTAGCGTTTATAAGGTGAATGAAGTGGATTGATGAGAAAATGATTTATTTGGGATATGAATTAGTCCAATCGGAAGTTTGTTAATAGGAGATTTTGTTTCGATTAATTGATGTTGTCTTAAGGGGATTGTTAAATTGGAATTTGGTGAGAATTTAGCTTTTCTAATTCAGCTTTTGTAAGTTAACTTTCGTTGGAATTTATCGAGAATTTAGCTTTTCAATTTCAGCTTTTCAAATTCGGCTTTTCAAATTTAACTTTCATTGGAATTTGTTGAGAATTTAGCTTTTCAAATTCAGCTTTTCAAATTTAACTTTCACTGGAATTTGTTGAGAATTTAACTTTTCTAATTCAACTTTCACTGGAATTTGTTGAGAATTTAGCTTTTCAAATTTAACTTTCACTGGAATTTGTTGAGAATTTAGCTTTTCAATTTCAGCTTTTCAAATTTAACTTTCATTTGGCATTTGTTGAGAATTTAACTTTTCTAATTTTGGAATTTGTTGAGAATTTAACTTTTCTAATTTAACTTTCACTGGAATTTGTTGAGAATTTAACTTTTCTAATTTAACTTTCACTGGAATTTGTTGAGAATTTAACTTTTCAAATTTAACTTTCACTGGAATTTGTTGAGAATTTAGCTTTCCAAATTCAGCTTTTCAAATTTAATTTTCACTGGAATTTGTTGAGAATTTAGTTTTTCTAATTTAACTTTCACTGGAATTTGTTGAGAATTTAACTTTTCTAATTTAACTTTCACTGGAATTTGTTAAGAATTTAACTTTTCAAATTCAGCTTTTCAAATTTAACTTTCACTGGAATTTATCGAGAATTTAGATTTTCAATTTCAACTTTTCAAATTCGGCTTTTCAAATTTAACTTTCACTGGAATTTGTTGAGAATTTAGCTTTTCAAATTGAACTTTCACTGGAATTTGTTGAAAATTCAACTTTTCCAATTCAGTTTTCCAAATTTAACTCTTATCCATTTGATTCGATTAATTTGAATTTTTTTGACATTTTTTAGGACATTATGTTTTGAGATGGTTTGCTTGGAATAGTTCGTGAAAAGGGGA